ACAACATGAAGAAGAATAATTTAAGAATTATTGGCATTCTTTAACAGGAAGATCGGCTGGAAGAAAATTTCCCTAACATCCTGAAAAACAAAAAGATAAGCAAGCATTCAAGAAGCTGAGTGAACCCCAGGAAGGATAGACCTTCCCCAAAAGAAAATCACTAAGACATATAATAGTCAAGCTCTCCAAAATCAAAGATAAGGATAGAATCCTGAAAGCAGCTAGGGAAAAGAGAGGTGTTATTTACAAAGCCAAGCAAATCAGATTAAGCTCTGATCTCTCAGCAGAAACCATACAGGCAAGAAGGCAATGGGGAGACATATAAAAACCCTTCAAGAAAAAAAAAACAAAACAAAACAAAAAAACTGCCAACCAAGAATTATCTACCCAACAAAGCTGTCAATCAAATATGACAGTGTAATGAAAACATTCCCAGAAAAACAGAAGCTCTAAGGGATTTTTCAAAGCCAACCTGGCACTTCCAGACATCCTAGAGGGAGTTCTTTGCACTGAGAATCAACAAGAACAAACAAGAAGCAGCATCACCTAGAACTCAGTCGACAGATGGAAGAGTCCAGAACAGAACACAAATACAAGAGCAAATTCAGAGAAATCTGGAAGGTCAATTTATGATCAAAACAATTACAATGTGAAAGAAAATTAAAATCATAGCAACAGAAATCCAGGTATGAGAAGGTCAGGTAGATTACAGGATAAAATAGACTATTTTAAATGGGTAACCTCAAAGAAAATTAATACTTCATAATATACCAAGAAAATGAAAATACAAGAAGAACATGGAAACTATGAAAAAACTTATGAGAAAGAACACAAAAACCATGAACTCAGCACAGGAAGGCATATAGAACAAAGAAACCAGCAACACCACACACACACACAAAACAAACAAACAAAATGACAGCAATTCTTTCATACCTATTGATAATTACACTGAATGTCAACGGATTAACTGCACCAGTTAAGAACGGAGAGTGGCAGAATGGATAAGAAAACAAGATCCTTCAATATGCTGTCTGCAAGAGACAACACATACAAAAAGACAAAAACAGACTAAAAGTTAAAACATGTAAAAAAAAATATACCAAGCTAATTGCAATAAAAACTGAGCAGGAGTAGCAGTACTAATCTCTGATAAAACTAACTTTAAATCAAAAACAAGCTTAATAGATAAAGATGTACATTATTTCATGATTAAAGGATCAATTGAATAAGATAACATAACCATAATAAATATCTAGGCTCCTAATGAAAGAGCTCCAAAATATATAAAGAAAACTAAAGATTTGAAGAAACAGACAAATCTACAATAATAGTGGGCAATTTTAATATACCACTTTCAAA